AAATTAAATTTAATTTTGGTATTTAAAATTTCCATTTTTATTATTTATAACTTTAAAATATATTTAAAAGAAAAAAATATTAATTTATAATTTTTGAGAATGTGATGCACAATGTTCAATATATAAGATTCTACATAAAATAATAAAATAGCAAATATTTTATAACCTATGATCATATTTTTAAGGACTATTTTAACAAAATTTATTTCTCACCTGTATAGGAGCTGGACGTAAAGCAAATATTTCATTTCTTGCTCCTTTAGTGTAACCATTCATATTTACTAAAATATGAATACCATCACTATTAATTTTATCAGCTGCTTTACCATTACATGGAATCTATTAAAAAAATTAATTTAATGGTAATTATAATACAAGAAAAATATTTTATCCAGTAAAAATAGTCTGAAAAAATTACTAACATGGGAAAGGTCAATAAAATGCTCAGATTCTCTAGCAATTTTTGATCTGAAAGTAGTGTTATCATCTGGTGATAAGGCATAGCAAAATATTTCTACTGTATCTCTATTATGAAGTCCAGGTATTGATTGCATCAAGTGTGATGTTGGATGATTACCAAAATCTGAAGACACATAACCAATACGTAATCTGTTTCCAGGCGCTAATTCTTTCACATATTTATATGATGGCTTATGCAAAACTTGAATTTTTTCCAAACACAAAGCAGCATGTCGTCCAGCAATTGCTTTACGAAATGAGTGTGATAGTGGATACAACATAGAATGATGAGGATGTACAGAAGGTAAACGATTTTTTTCCAATTGTTCAGCCACAATGTTAACTAATTTCTTCATTCGAGCTTCATAATCAGTCCAATCACAAACAATTTGTAAGCAATGAGCTAAATTGCAGTATGCATCTGGAAAATCAGGTTTCAATCGCAATGCAGTTCTATAAGAAGCTATAGCTTCAGGTATATTTCCAGAATCTTTGTGAATAGATGCTAAATTACTATGTGCATCAGCAAAAGCTGGATTTATTTGAATGGCTCTAGAGTAACATTGTAAAGCATTTTGAACATCTTGCATTTCTTTGAG